CGCTGTCCCAGGCACAGTGTCACCAGATACACGTGTGTGTGTGTGTGTGTGTGTGTGTGTGTGAGCCATCACACTCAGGCTAGCTCCTGGGGGCTGGCCAGATCAAGTCCAAACTTCCCGGAGCCTCCACAAGCAGGCCTGCTGCCCGCCTCTGCTCGGCCCTACTCCAGCCCGAGGAGTGTCCTTCCCGCTGGCACGGCCATCTTCCTGCCCGCCCACCCCTTTCCACAAGGCCGGAGCGTCCTGAGAGACGCACGGCCGGTTTGAACGCACGCCTCCTCCACCCCGATTCCCCACGGCCCGGGGCCCCCTTTGTGCTGCGGGCGCCCAGACCCTTGTCTCAGGCCGGGACGAGGTGGGAGCCTGCCGATGGTTTTCAGGTGAGGCGTGCTCCCGCCGCACCGGCCTGATTGCCTCCGGGAACACGCTGTACTTCATGAGCTCGGTGACTCACCGGCTCCATAAACACCTCGCGCACACGGGGCCCTGGGACATGGGGCCGCCAACCCCAGCCTCCTGCTGCCCTGTCAGAGCCGGGAGAGCTGCCTGCTCCCCGAGAGAGAGGATCTGGGGAAGGTGGGGCTGTGGGCGAGCGAGGGACGGTGCACCTGCCTCTCGGGGCCACCACCTGCCTCTGGGAAGGGGCTGAGCAGCACCAGGCTTCCCGGCAGGCCTGCGGGGGGGGGGGGGGGGGGTGCAGGGGGGGGCGGGCGGGCGGGTTAAGCTCATCCACAGCCTGTCTTTGAACAGGCCCAGCCCCAAAATGTCACGGACAGGGAGAGATCTCGACCCCGCTCTCATCGATTGCGGGTTTCCCTTCAGGATACAAAGCGAGACCCCGGTCCTCGAAGCCCTCCCTGAGCCACGGGAGGCGTCCATCGGCCTGACGGGGCCTGGAGGACAGGTCTGTGGGTGGACAGCTCGGGGGGCAGGTAAGAACGGGGAAGGGACAGAGCCAGAGGCAGGAAGCGGGGCTGGGGCAGCCAACGGAAGGGGGACAGACATCGGAGGACAGACCAAGCTCAAATTCAGTACCAGGAGTCCTAAGACCTGGACCCCAGCAACTGCTTGGTGGCTGAGGGGCTGGGAGAGTCACGTGGGTCTCAAACCCTCCTCCGTGAAGGGGCACCGCCAGGGTTGCCGTGAGAGCGAGGGAGGCGGGTGTCAGGGGCAGCGGCGGCCTCATTATTATTATTAGATCAGGAGGTGTTGGGCCCAAGGGGGGAATGACAAACGATATATATTTAGAAGAGAAAACAGACCCCAATCTAAGGAGACCCCACACCCGCTCTCTCCTCAAATAATTTTTTCTACACCCAGTTCCTCAACCATTTCAATCCTGGAAAAAAACACAAAACAAAAAACAACACTGGAAACTGGTCCCTTGCCCCCATCAAGGTCCAAGCAGCTCCGGCTCGGCCATCTGTCCCCCCTCGTACCAGGACCCTGACGAGCTCTAGCCAGTGAGGGACTGAGTCAGGCTCTGCGATGTGGGGAGGGGTACTAGCCTACGGCCCCTGCCTTCGGGAGTCAGTGTGTGTGAATCACAATGAAAGTGGCCTGGGGTGGCCGCCGATGGATCCACTGGGGAAAAAATCTGGCCAGCGTGCTATTTAGGATGTATAGACTCCTCTCTCTCTCTCTCTCTCTCTCTCTCTCTCTCTCTCTCTCTCTCTCTCTCTCTCTTTCTCTCTCTCAGTGTGGCTGAGTTCTTTCCCTACCATGGCCCCTGCCACAGACACCCCAATTTCCCTGTAAAGACTGGCAGAGGAAAGTGAGGTGTCCAAAACCCCCCAAGACAGCAGAGCAACCAGCCAGAAGGTTGGCCAGCCGCCGAAGGGAGACGGGGATCTGGACCTCTCCGACAGGCACAAATGGGCCTCCGTCCAGCATTGTCCGGATATCAGGGCACAGGCGCAGGATCGTGTCCCTAGCAGCTGGAGAGCCTGCCTGTGGCCCTGGCGTGGGACGCTGTGTTACCAGGGCAGAGCCGCGGGAGGTTTTGTTTCCTCGAACCCCGCTTCAAGGGCTGCCGTGCAAGCAAGCTGCCAAGCCCACCCATGCCCCTGCGACCTCTGTGCACATCGCTCATCCCCGCACCCAGGCCCTGCCGCACGAGCCCATCTCCCTCCCTCGGACCCAGGACACACAGAGAGGCACCGAACAAGAACAGGAAACGGCAAGAACAACAGCTCTGTGCAGAGACGGTAATTTCACGTATGTGACTTTATTTAACGTGTATCCTCACGGGCACACACCACGTCCAGACTTAGTACATGCACGCAGAGCCTCTACTCTACCCATGCGGCACATCCAGATCCACACACCCGCCACCGACCCAGACACGGCTCACAGACCTGCACACGTGTGGACGCCCGCCACACGCACAGCCAAAGGGTGCCTGCCGAGGGTGCGTGCGGTGAGGACTCCGTGAACATCCAGACAAGGGGAGACCGGTACGAATGCACACCAACTCCCTCCTGCACACGTACTGCCTACCATGGGGACCCCAATACCCAGCCCCCCCGTGGAGCACACGTGTCCTGACTCTACACCTTCGGCTCCTCACTCTGCCAGGGCACCCGAGCCCAGCCCGCGGCCAGCCCGTCCTGTACGCCGCTCGCAATTCACACAGGCCCTGTGCACACGCGCGGCCGCCATGGTGGACTCTGCACACTGCGCACTGATGCTGCGCCCTCCCCCGTGCCCCGAACAGGGGGGGCACGTGTACCTGGCAGCTCGGCCAGGGACGGAGAGCCACCAAGCGAAGCAGCTCATTGGGTCTTTCTCTAGAGGCAGACCTGCTCCCCAACTCCACGGGCCCCCGGAGGGGCGGATAAAGCGGGGAGTGGTCAGCAGATCAGAGCTTTCTCTTAGGTTTGTTTTTTTTTTAACCTGGGCCTCCAATGCTCTGGGGACCCTCTCAGGTGGCCCCTGGCCCCAATTTCCTTCCCCTTTCACTTCCCACTGGTCCTCCGTGCCATTTTCTCCACTGTCCACACCCTTCTTTCTCCGTGGGGCTGAATCCATAGCCATGAGCCCTCACTTAAGGTCTTCCCCTCCCCCTCCCACAGCCCCAGCGAGCATCCAGCTGGACTTGACTAGGAGGCCGGAGGAAAGAGGGGGTGGCCCTGGAAACCCCCAGGGCAGACCCAAGCCCCCAACAGGGAAAAGGGAGTAGAAATACACTGAGGTGTGGCTTAGGGGAACTTGGGGGGTTCCTGTCTTTGCGTGGAGCCCCTCTCCCTGGTACCCCATTCAAAGCCGGTGCTACCAAAGTGACGAACAAATGGCACCAAGGGCGAGGACAGAAAGGACGGGAGCGGAGGAGTGAGTGGCAGGGAGCGAGAATAAAAGAAAGGAGGGGGAGGAAAAGAGAGAAAAAGAAAGGGAAGGGGCGAGAGAAGGAAGATTTTTTTAAAAAGAAAAGCAGGAGGGGTCGTGGGGGAGGTTTTATTGAGAGCAAGAAGAGACAGAAAAACTGGAGAATAGGGAGGAAAAGAAACCCAATCTTGCAAAGGAGATGGGGAAGCAGGAGGCGAGAAAGGACAGGGGGAGAAGAAAAGAGAAGGGAGCAAAGAGGCAGGAGGAAGCAGCTGCGGGTCCCCCAAGTTACAGACTTTGCCCAGAGAGCTGAGGGGCCCGCCCTGGATCCCCATCCGGACCTCGGAGCTCCACGGCCCACCTCTCTGCGCCCCACTTCTGCAACCCCTTCTTCCCACTTCCACCCTCCAGCAGCCCCAGACACCCCGTTCCTTTCTCTGGCTCCTCGTTCCCACCCCCTCAGCCTCTTCTAGTTCCCTACACCCTCTCCGCCCCCCCCCTCACCACCCCCCCATCCACGCTGCTAGCTCCGGAGCTCAGACAGCCTCACCAACCATTATTGTCACCATCATCGCACTCAGCCGGCCCCCACAGCCCCCAGGAAAGGCGGGGGGGGCGGGGGGGGGCCCATCACCAGTCTTGACCCTCTCTGGCTTCATTTTCTCCGCCGTCGCCCCTTCCCAAAACGCAGGCCCCCGAACGGGGCTCCCGCCCAGTCCCCGGAGCCGCTCCGGAGCGCGCCGGGGCCAGCCCGCGCCCCAGCCGCCGCCGCGCCTCTTCTCCGCGCCCGCTCTTTTTGTACGCGGTGGCTCGGGCTTCGACGCGTTTTGTGTTCGTCTTTTTCGTGGTATAATTATTTTTTTTTTCTTGCCCCCTTTTCTTTATTTCCTTGGCCTGGGAGCGGCGGCAGCGACAAACGCCCACCGCCCGGTCCCTCTCCGACGCCGGCAGCTCCCGGCCGGCGGCTCTTTCTCTCGCCCGCGCTCTCCTCGCCTCGCTCCTTTCTCCTCCGGCTGCGCTCGCTCCGCCGTCCTTTTCGCTCCTTCCTCCGCCGACCCGCGCTCTCGCCTCTCCCCGCCGCCCCCGCTCCGCGCCTCTCCTTCCCCCGTCCCGCTGCCCCTTCTCCCCGTTTCCTACCGCCTTCGCCCCGCCGCCGTCCTTATTTCTCCCCGTCCCCAGCCCCCCACCTCCGCCACCATCACTGATGCACACCTCGCCTTCGGTCCTCCCGCTGCCACCGGCACCAAGCCGACCCCCTCTTGCCCCCAAATTATAGAAACACCCAGCCAGGGGGCAAAGCCCCGCCGCCGGGCGCGGGGAGCGGGGCGAGCGGGCCGGGGCGGCGGCGGCGGCGGCGGCCGGAGCGCGGAGCGGAGCGCGCGGCGCCCGCGCGGCTCCCGCCCGGGGAGCTCTCTGCAATAGGCCGAGCCGGCTGCATTAAGCTTCTTGCAATCAATAAAGCGCGGGTCAGATTATGCAAAGCGCAGATATTAATATGCAAAGTTTTAAAGATTTTTAAATGGAAGGGCGAGCGCGGCGCGGGCGGGCGGGCAGGGGCCGCGAGGGGAGAGGGAGGAAGGGAGGGCGGGCGGGCGGCGCGCAGGCGAGCTGAGGAGAGGAGGAGGCTGCCCGCCGCCCGCCCGCCCGCCCGGCTGCGCCGCGCCGCCTTGCCTTACCGCTGCTCCCATCGGTAGGCGCCGCTGTCTTCGCCATGCGCGTCAGCGGCACGGCTCCGAGGGGATGGCCGAGGAGGAGCCGCCGCCGCCGACGCTGCCCCCGCTCCCGCTCCCGCTCCCGCGCCCGCTCGCTGCCTGCTGCTGGCGCTGCTCTGGCCGCTGCTCTTCGCCTGAGCTGCCGGCGCGAGCCCAGGCGCGCGCCATCCCCGGCTCCCACCTTGTCCCCATGGCAACCCCGGGCCCAAGGATGCTCAGAGAGAGAGAGCGCGAGCGAGAGAGCGAGGGGGGGAGAGAGAGGGAGAGGGAGAGGGCGGGGAGCGCAGGGGACACGGAGGCAGGGAGAGGCCCGAGACCCACAGAGACACGCAGAGACAGAGAGTCATAGAGAGATACTGAGAGATACGCTGAAACAGACCTAGTGGCAGGGAGGGGAGAGGAGCTGGGATCAGGGAAGAGCACCCAGGCAAGGAGAAGCCCAGAGACCCACAGAAACACAGAGAGACACAGAGACAGGGAGACGCAGAAAGAGACGGAGGGGAAACGGAGGGCGGGGAGCAGAGGGGGATTCAATGGCAGGGAGAGACCAGGAGACCAGAGACTCAGAGACACCCAGAGACCTCCAGAGACAGAGAGAAAAGGAGAGGAAGAGGGCAGGGAGCACAGAGGACACGGAAGCAGTGAAAGATACAAAGAGATGCCTGGAGACAGAGACACCCAGAGATACACAGAAACAGACACAGGGACAGAGAGAGAGGGGTGGGGGGCAGAGCAGAACTGGAAAGCAGGGAGAGGCCCTAAGACGCAGAGACTCAAAGGGACACCAGAAACACAGAGACACGGAGGAAAGGGAGCGAGTATGGGGGACGTGGAAGCAGGGAGAGACTAACAGAGACACAAACACACAGCGGGGTCGGGGGCGAGGGAGCGAGGTGGAGAGCAAGGAGAGGGACACAAAAGCAGAGAGAGGCACCGAGGGCCACAGAGACAACAAAACAAGGAGGAAAAGTCCATGGCCAGAGAGAGAGACAAGGAGCCAGAAAGAGGGAAGTCCCAGAGAAGAAGACACAGGAGATACAAAGGGACAGAGACACAGGCAGAGACGGGAGAGACAGGGCATCCGAGAATCAGAGAAAGAGCTGCATGCAGACAGAGGAATGGAGAGGCAAGACACAGCTGGAGCGAGGCAGAGACAGGCACAGGAGAGACACGCTGAATCAGAGAGAGATACAGAAACAACCACAGGGAGACCCAGGGCCAGACACCATCAGAGACCAAAAGAGACAGAGACAGAGACAGAGGCACACAGAGCGACAGAGACAGACAAGGGGACAGGTAATTCATGAAATGTAGACAGAAACATAGGGGGACATGGGGATTCTGAGAGAGAACCTAAGAATTGGACAGACAGAAATAAATGTGCAAAGAGGGACACAGAAGGCAAGACATAAAAAGAGGCAAAAATAACTGCAGAGATAGTGAGAAACTCCAGAGATAGGCAGAAAGCAAAGAGGGAGTTAGAGAGTCAGTGTGGTGCAGAGAAACATAGACAGAGATTGCAAGAGACATGACAGGAGAAACCTAGGAGATGGAGAGAGACTGTGAGGAGACAGGCGCTGGAAGTCAGAGACAGCAAGAGATAAAGGGAGATGGGAAGTGGAGAGTAAGACTGGGGCAAGGGGAGCAGGACAGAAAGACAGAGCTTAGGGTGGGTAGACCGGGCAGGCGGGGTGAGAGCAGGGACAGGAGAGTCACAGTGGGGCTAGGGGCGGATCCAGAGGCGATGGCAGGTAGGGGAAAGGAGACCGGTGGGGCGGGAGGAGGCAGCACCCTGTCACTGAGCACCTCCCTGTGCCCGGCCAGCGGCTGGGGAGGGAGAGGACGGACTGGGGAGGAAGGGACCCTGGACAGAGGCAAGTCTGCTCGGACCTGGGAAGGGCCTGTGGCTCTCGCCCCCCGCCAGCAGGGGCGCGGCGGTGCAGGGCGGAGGACTGGGCTTGCAGTGGTACCCAGATCAGGAGTTTGGGGGGAGGAGAGGAGGAGGCGGAGAGCGCGGGGGCGCGCCGCGCGGGCTCGGCTCGGCAGCCGCAGCCACCGGGCGCTTTGTTACCCGCGCGGCCGCTCCGGGTGGATTGAGTGGGCACAGGGGACCCTCGGGACGTGTGCACGAGAGAAACACGAGAATCACCAGCTGCTCACGTGTGCACACGGGCTCCCGGGACCCACAGTGCCCGTGCGTAACTGAGATACATCCCGGCAACACCTGTCCCGCGGGCGTGCCCAGTCCACGGGCCATGGGGAGGGGATGGCGGACTCGGAGCTGCCCGCGGCCTCCTGCGCCCGGCGGCCTCTCGGGCCTAAGCGGTGCGCCCAGCACAAGCGGAAGCGAGAAGCAGCTCCTACCCCCTGAGCACTCAGAGCAGACGCAGGCACCTGTGCAGCACGTGGGTGAGAGACAGGGGACACTCAGACCCTCTGTACAGAGCGGGCCACTCCCCCGCCCGCTCTGCAGGTGCACAGCACCACCAGCACACACACTGGGCACGCCGCACCCACAGGGCATGACTACGGGGGCACAGAACCACACCCAGAGGCTCCCCACGACCCCCGCCCCATGCACAACCAGGGAATGCAGGCGTGCCATAGGCCGCGCCTACCAAGCAGATGAGCTCCCTGGGGGAACATGGTAGACCCAGGAGCGGGTTCTGGCGCCCCCCCTGCCCGCCCCCAATGAGTGTGACACAGGTAGAGCTTTTGCACAGAGGCAGGAGGCGCACTAGTGAGGAGGGGACTCCCCAAGGGTGCCTGGTGTAACAGCCCAGGGCCCACCCACCCGGCCAGGAGCAAGAAGGGGCCCTGGGCATGGAAATGAAGACCCTGGCAGGCTTCTGAGCGCCCTGTGTGTGTGTGTGTGTGTGTGCTGCAGCCGAGGAGCTTCAGGGTCCAGGTGCCCATGGGAGGGAAGCTGGGGCCAGGGCGGGCCCAGGACGTTCAGTCCTAACTCACCCCCGGCGCCTACAGGACAGCAGGTGGTGGGTGCCCATCCCCTCTAAGAATGGCCAGTAAGCGCTGATTATGTGCACAACGGACACACACTAAACGTGGGAGCACCGTCTTCAGGGTCCAGAAGCGCTGACTTGACACACGAGCAGCCGTGTGAAGTGCTTGCTGCCCAGCTCTCGGAGGGCAGAGGCCTGCTGTCCTCAGTCACCCGAGCATCCGCGGTGAGCGGAAGCTGGCATCCCTCCCGTTCTCCCCAGAGGCAGATCCAGGGGGCGACTCAAGTACCTGGGGTGCAGGCCGTCCTAACTGTTCAGGAGGCTCCACCCAGCCCTGAGTCGTGACCCCTCGCGGGTGAGGGTGGCCATGTATACACACCAGATACAGGCAAAGACGTACGCAACACAGCACAGCACAGGGAAAACACGTGTGCTCTTCGTGCTCCTAAAAGAGCCCCATTCGAAAAGCGCTGATTCCTCTGAGGAGGGCCGGGTCCAGGGGAGGGCCGCTCTGGCTACGGGTGTGCATGCTTGCGCTCTTACTGTGCACATGAACTTGTGTGCTCAGCTCTCACTCCCTCCTCATCCTGCCTGTTCACATCTCAGAAATGCATAAAGTTCCTGGCCTATTCTAAGTGCAGGGCTTTGTAAGCCACGAATACATTTAGCTGTGTGTGTGTGTGCGCGCGTTAGCGTGTAACTACACACAGATGCACATCTCACTGGTGCAATGTTTCTGTTCACACACCTGTGGCCACCTGTCCGTGTGACTGTGTGCGCTGGGTCACAAGTCTTGGATCTCGCTTACAACCTCAAGGATAAAGGGGTAAAATAGGGGAAATAGAGGCACACAGAGGAAAAGGAGGAAAGGGCGAAGGAGGAGGGAAAAGAAAAGAATTGGAACTGGAATGGGACCTAGGGAGGGAAGGAAGGAAGGGAGGAAGGGAGGAAAGGAGGAAAGGAAAAAGGGAGGGAGGAGGGGAGGAAGGAAGGAGGGAGAGGGCCCTAAGGACAGAGCAGCTGGGGACAGGGTGGGTGAGGAAGGAGCACATGGGCGGGAGGAGAATGAGGCAGGAGGAGAAGGGGTGTGAGAGAAAGGAGGGGCTGCTGAGACTGGGGAAAGGGGTGAGTGGGAACAGGCTGGAGAATGGTGGAGTGCCGAGAAAGTGCAGGGTGAGGTGTCAAGAAGAGAGAAGGGTAGAAGAAGCTGTGAGTATCTTCATAATTACAAGGAGATCACTACATATGATTGCTGATCAATAAATCTTTTTGTTGTCAAAGAAGAAGAGAGAAGGAGCCTGGGGAGAGAAGAAGGGAGATGGGAGCTAGAGGGAGGGAGGAAAGGAAAGAAATAAGAGAGACAAAGTTTTTTCTGATCTGCACAAAATTTCAAGATTCTCCCAAGCCCCCCCCCCACGGGAAGGTGTTGGAGGTGGAGGGGGGGGGGGGATGACAGGAAGCAGGAGAAAGAAGGGAAGGAAAATCATAATGTGGTTCCCCCCAGGATGGGCCATCAGCTGCCTCCAGCATCCTCACAGAGGGGGCCCTGAGGCAGAGGAGCTAGCAAACCAGGCCCAGGAGCAGAGGGGAGGGTCCCGGAGGAGGTGCGAGGAGGAGATGAGAGGCTGGGGGAGGGAGGAGGAAGGCCCGGGCTCAGGTTGACAGAGACTTCCAAAGGTCAGCAGCTGGGCTTGGCAGGAGTGGAGAGCTGAGGACCGGGTGGAGGGATGAAGCTTAGAAAGAACCCAAGGAGGCCAGCCAGGCAAACAGAGGGGCCAGTGGAGGGCCAGGTGAAGGCCACAAACCGAACATCCTGCAGATGGGCCCTGCCTTATGCACAGCCCAGGGTCAGGCGCCCTCCCAGGCTGCTGCTTCCAGATCATTCCATTTAGGAAAGGGGAAGGGGTGAGAGGGGGAAGGGGGAAGTAAAAAGTGACGGCTGCTGTGCGCTAAGACGGTGCCACAAGCTGCAGACACAAAGGTGACAGGGACTCCCTCACTGAGAGCTGGTCTGGGGAGAACAGACAATAAATACACAGCCACCGATACACGCGGCGGCACGGACGGAACCCAGAGCAGTGAGAGAAGCTGGACACAGAAGACTACACACTGTAGGATTCCATTTATATGA